TTCTGAAGAAGTTGCAATTTTTAATATTTTATCAAGAAAATTGGTCCTCACTAACAATATAACCAACAATATTAGCTGTAAGGAATTTGAGTCACATTGGCGTATTTTTTAAGATAACAGAGAAAGTATAATTTTTAATTTCCTAGTACGAAGGAAAAGATAATGAGATTTTTCGGAAGTAAATTAAGAAACTGTCGACATTATATTGTTCGCGATATGATCTTTTTTAATAACTTTGGTGAGACGGAGTGTAGTTCAAGTTTTTGCGCGATGTTCGCTCGAACGATCGTTTGTTTCAGGATCGTATGCGTAGATCCAAGTCTCATCCTACGTAACGATTCATTTCATCATGTTCTTGTTTCGCGAACTAAGTAAGCATCGAAAAAGTGACCTTTGCATGTTTACAAAAACACGTGTAATTCTGCGGCAATTGAATACATTCGCATAAAACTTTATATTTTGCGTCTAAAGGTAAATTTTACAGGACTCACGGAACCAGCATGAGCTCTATCAGTCGACCAGCATGAGGGCGATCTGTCTTTGTTCAGTTATTTGCATTGGTTTTTTGAGAAAATGTGTCAAAATTTCTACATTGGCCATTCTATATAGGGATAAGAAGACTTGTTCGTTTACTTAAACACTATGAGTAATTAATAAGAATATTTGTCATCTCATCCTGCCTTTACTTACTATTGTCTTGAACAGATTGTTAATTAAACATGTAATAAAGTAAAAAAAAATAAAAATTTCACAGAACCTGCGAGCTATAAATGAAAAGTACACCTCACTTTTTGTTCCTGGTATTTTGTTAGTTAATACGATGGCGAACTATAGCGAGGACTGACCCTACGCAAAATGCAATCAATAAATATTTTTCACTTTTTACCTACTTATGCATAACGCGAATCGAAGGCACAAAATTGTACATTCTTCTTCTTCTTCTTCTTCTTCTTTAAATAAAATTGCAACATTTTATCGAATTTTTAATTGAAGAGAAGTAAGGACGGAATCTAAATCACTTTATAAATTTAAAGATTTTTCTAATGTTGTTATATCGCTCCGTTCTTTAAATGGAGATAAATTCCTTTACTTACACTTACCCAATGAAAAAATTTCATTTTATTTACAAAAGAGTTATCTCTCTCCATTTAACATTTCATAGACTCTTCTCTAACACATAAACATGCATTTCTGTTTATACTTGAAAAAGAAAACATTCACAAATTCTTTTTTGTCAAATGTAGATGTTGCATGAACGTTTAAAATATTTACTTTTTCCGTTCTTTCATTATTGTTAGTTCACAAAAACTGCTTCATATGAAAACAGTTTTCTATTTCTTTCTTCTTCGAAACTGAAAGGAAATTACATTTCATGATATGAAAACGAAAAGTTATTGTCATCAAAACAATATCTATTCAGAAAGATTTTTTATTTATTTTAAAAGTGTCTCTTCTTTTTTTTGCAACCGCCATCAAACGATGGATATGCAATGCTTTGTCATTCCGTTTGCATTTTCTAAAAGTATTCATCAGATATATGAGGAGATTCCTTATGTATCTTTCTCAAGTGTCGCGAAGTTGGAGTTGTGGAATATTTCCTAAACTGCTCGGCTTCAGAGCGCCAAGTCAATCTGCCTCTTGAAAATGCCAATTGAGCTCGGCATGAGACAGTCCCTAACAATGATACTAAGCGGATGGAACGCCTTTTATTATACTAGCGGATTGATACGCTTCTTCAATTGCTTTTAGATAATTGACTTTATTCATATCTTACCGGGCCATTTATACATCAATTACTACACTAAATTATGCTAACGTAAACTGAATAATAATTGTTTTGGTTTGGGCGCCTGGCATCGCACTTCATTTCGTAATGCAATACTCAGCCAGATGAAGTGCGACATCATTTTCATTTATCTTTTTAGCAAAAGAATTATGCTGAATTTGCATAATTCTGTCGCACTTCAAAGTGGATGCATACAACGATATGCGATCACACTACAAGATATTACTTGACCTTGGCATATATGTGCTCAATGATCAGCTCCTTAAGTCAAGCTATACGAATAGACATTTAACTAATTTGTCTTAAAATCAAAGAGAGAATGTGACTCCAGTCAAGTCATAGGATCAAACGCTTGAAATGTTGAATATGGAGTTCTTTTCACATTTTCCCCTTTTCTTCTTCTTATTATCACAGGCAAGCATAAGTAAAACAACAAACTATATTTGGTTTAGAGCATCGGACCTTCGAAAAAGATTTGAAATTTGTTGAAAGAATTTCGTCAAAATGTCTTAAGAAATAATTATGAATAGGTATAGTAATCGCCAGGCTATTCAAATATTCAAAATTTGCTTAAAATAGTATATAACTTAACCTCCGATTTCATCTTAATCCGATCAATTACTATAACGCACGTATTCCGCTTCTAAAAAGCCTACAAAGCCATAACTTTATTGTATCCAAACCGTTCTTATTAATTAGCGGGTAAGGTATGGTAAGGTATGTTACTCATATACGTAAACGGCATCAACGTTCACCAAGAGTGGGATGAATGGGATGGTCAACTACACTAGCTAGACCGTTCGTCTTCGAGTCCAACGTCTCATTTCCGCAATTTAATCTTATCGTCCTCAGTCATTCCTTGCCGTAAACGGCTCCTCACTTTTACCCTTCACGCAGGCACTTCCGGATTACAAAACTTATGTCTATCGAGCACGACGGCTTCAATCAGAGAGAGAGAGAGAGAGAGAGAGGAAGAGAGGGAGGGAGGAAGAATGCTCTTGACAATTGCTCGAGCCCTATCTGTCATAATCGGTATTATCCATGGACTGACAATCACACTCCACACCAGGTGATATGTTTTCGAGTTGATAGTCGCTCTGCTTTTCAGTCGATTTATGTTTAATGCAGTTGCTACAATCTGATAACTTACCAAAAGTAAATATATGTAAGTATATTTACAAAGAATGACGGAATACACAAATTGGTGTACACAAAAGCATAAAGTAACATTTATATGTGAAACCCATATTATGTTAGAGGTACCTATGTGTACAAGGGAGAGAGAGGAAAAGAGAGAAAGGGAACGACTTGTTACTGCTGTAACTCTTATAAAGTCTCGCATCAAAATTAACTTCTTTCAATTGGTTTTATTTCGGCATTGCATGCAACAAAAAGTATGGCCAGGGTCTGACATTTTTCGTTCACTGCGAAAAGCGCTATCGATCACCCGCGGCTTTGAAGAGACGGCAAAACATCGTGGAGGAAACTTTCAGCTGTAATGGGTCTTCTATAGAACGTATTGTACACAAAAACACTCTGATAGATGTACACTTATAAAGGGATTTATATCCGCTCATAAAGTACATCTTAAAGGCCGGGTTCATGCAATAAATTGTCATTAACTAGTAACACAAATTGTTGTTGTCATTATTTGATTGCAAATCAAAAATACTTTGATTTTTAAAAGAGTAACTATTTGTTTGATTTATCCTAAAAGACAGAGACGGAGAAAGAGAGAGAGAGAGAGAGAGAGAGAGAGAGAGGAGAGAATGGGGGAAACGAAAATTATTTCCTTGTTTCTGTGGTTTCTAAAATTTTAGATATCATATATATGAACAGCGGACACGTAATTTGCTCTGTAAAGCTGCGAAGCATAGCTGCCACATTAAATACCACAGTAACTTCCCGCAAACAAACATACCATCGCACGTAACCTACTACTATATCACAATGCGCAAAATATATGTAACAGACACATGCGATTCACGCAAACTATTGGAAAAGTTACACACATTTAAATCATGTAAACGCAGCTTATGTGCAAAGACTTGGACGTAAGGAGTAAAGAGCACATTTCAGTAGGCACTATTGAAGGACGGGAACATGCTAGATTTGACATACCATTTATAAAACCCAACATTACGTAACAAAGGTCTTATACAATTTGTAACTTATTGAATCACCCATTTAACGCCTGCAAACACATTTATTTGCATTGCACACTCGAAGAACGCCCCTACAGTAATACCCACACCTCCCCTTTTCAAAAGAAATAAAAATTGGTTTTTCGCTCATTCGTCATAAACTACAGCAAATAAATCTACGAAAATTTCAACATATATTGTATGGACGATACTGCAGTATCTCTTGCCTACTAAATATTCACTCATTTCCTTTATGAGGCGGGGAAGCGTCTACAGAAATGTGTGCCGTCTATCTGGGTGTAGCATCTGGGTGCATCTGGGTAAACATTCCGCCGTTCGCAAAAATTAAGACGTCGTCCACAAGTACGGCAAGGAGCTTGAAAATGACCCAAACTGAACCAGAGACACACCCACTACGTGCACATGTTTATGCAACAAGAACGTTGAACACTTTGGCTGTAAATCTTTTATCACCGCATCTGTTGTAATGTGTAAAACGAAGAAGCAAAAAACGCGATTGGTAGTGTTTGAAAGCAGACTTTTATTCAGCTTAGGTCGTCCTATGACTGTATCCTTTATCCTTAATCTATCCTTTGATTTGACTAAGTAGTTAAAGTAGCTCTGAACAAAAGTATATTTGACTTTTATTCAAAACAAAAAAAATAAATAAAAAATTTAAGAAAAATTTAAAAATTAAATTAAATTTAATAAGATTGCGAAACTTTTTATTAATTTAGCCAGAGAATAAATTCTGAACCTAAAGCGGTAAAGCACTAGCACTTAAGGCATCTATTGGCTTTATTGAAAACTCTGGGATTTAAACCTACAACCATCCAGTTGTTTGTCGAGACTCTTTGCCTACTCGACTACTGAGACGGATTTGCCGCTTAATATATTCATCCGATTCTACATAGATTTTGAACTAATTTTTGAATTTATTCCTTTATGCTCATTTTCTTGCTTTATTACTGTTCAGAAATTTAAAATCTTAAAAACTATTTACAAAAACTTTTAGGGAAAATGATGACTAAGACTAAGATCTCCTTTGAATTTCTCACTGGTTCGTTTCACTATACTATTTCCATTGAAGGATCGGTTAAATCGCCATCTAAACGTTGGATAGTCTTTTTAGCACGCAAAGCAGTAAGACGAGCCGCTGGATTCGGTTTCCAACATTCTTCCATAACTTTACTTAGAGTCGATAAAATATTATTTTCTTGCCACGATGCAGATATGATGGGACGCAAACCTTGGTCACAAACTGCGATCCGCATAACATCAATGCTTGGATCTTCAGGCACTTCGTCGTAATAAGGTAAAGCATAATCATTAAAAATTATTGCTTTTGTATCCGTATTAAGGATACGACAGCGATGTGCCATTTCCCATAAAACTAAGCTAACGGCGTACATATCGGCTTGTTTGTACTCTTCGAATATCTCTTGATTTAGTGCCTTATTCAAAATTTCAGGAGCCATATACCGTGCTGTGCCTACTTGCATATCACCTTTCGCTTGTATACCGCTCTCGTTGGAATGATATTTAACAGCGAGACCAAAGTCAGATAAACAGCATTGAGTATTATTTTTTACTAAAATATTTTTACTCTTTATGTTACGATGAGCTATACCCGGTTTGCCAGGATTACCAACAATCTCTTTGTGTAAATGGGACAAGCCCAACATTAAGGAGAGTGCTAACAATTGCAACTGATCTGTCTCGATAATATCGTTTGAAAGCAAATCGTACAAGCTGCCGTTCTCATAGTATTCGGTTATTAAGAACATTTGACTACAACTGATGTCTGAAGCTATATAACCTAAAATGTTTTCATGAGGCAGCAGTACGGTTTTATAGACATCTGCCTCGTACTCCCAAGATGCTTTCTCTTCTTCGCGAAATACTTTAACAGCTACTTTTTCATTACGCCAGTATCCCAAAAAAATGTGTCCATACTTCCCTCTACCAATCACGTTCTCCAACTGTATCTCATCGGCAATACTTCGCTGCTTCAACCTTGTCATAAACCGTTCGGGTCCGCCACTTTGATTTGTTCTTTCGTCTCCGCTTGCGAAACTTTCCACGCATAGTGTCACTTTCTTCTTGCGTATTAACAATGGAAATATTACCGTCAGCACGATAAAGCTCAAAATTATGATGATTATTATCGGAATAGTATAGACCGTGTCGTGTGTTGATTCGTTGCTTATCGTTGGGATTTTTATTGTTAAATTTTGATTACAATAATCATCGATATCACAACAAGTTACGTTTTTTGGTAAGCACATCCACCAACCACCGTTCTGCCGGGGTGGCATGCATCCATATATAAACTCGTTGCGTTTCGTAACTTCATTTTGAACAATCGCAGTAAAACAATATCCGCCTGGACGTGTTAGGCAGCTACTATTTATCATATTATCGGGGCAATCGCCATCGCAATAACAAGTGAGATTACGAAATGTCGAATTTTCTTTCGTGGTATGCTCTAAAATGTCGCCTGACAGGAGAGCACCGATCATCGCGGCATACAACTAAAAACTGAACGATTTTATGCCGTAAAAACGTTTACTATTATTATTTACCTTTAAAGGTGCTTTCCATATATCGCCATTATGTCGTCTTCTTTTCAAAATAAACTCTTAAAAACACGAAAACATCTGCGGCAATATAATCCCGACTCGTACCAATAAATGATTTATTAGTGTTGAGCAAATTTCCAACGAAACTGAAAATTTCAATTAATTCGCATATTGAACGAAACAGTTTATGGTTTAACAACAAGCCCAAAGCAATGTTCCTTTAAGAGCACTTTACGTTAAAGATTAAAATATTTCGAAACAAAATTTCCCTCAATAAATTCATGAGGATTAAGAAAATATATCCTTTGCTTTCGAAGATATGCATATCCGTCAGGCTTGTATGTATATCATACAATCTTTGCAAATACTTCACGATTTTTATGGACTTTACGACATCAGGCTTCAGCAATTATTTAAATTTTGGAAAAAATTATACTCAAATATGGATTTTTGCAAAACGAATTGCTTATATAAAAGTATGAAAATCCTATACATATTACTAAGGTATTGTTTAAAGTTCAACAGATGCCTAAATAAACTGCATCTCAATAGATATTTTCACTATATTACGTCCGAATTGACGCTGCTCTCCTCCCCTAATATAAGGTAATGAAATAATGATAATGAAATCCAAAGAGCAAATGAAAAGCTCTCTCTCTTAAATTTTCCTATTTCTCCTTAGAAAAAAAGAAATAAAAGCAGAAAATAAAAGATTGTACTTAGCTTTTTGTAGTAAGCATTGAAGACTAGGTATATGCAGACATAAGATTACGTAAACTAGAAAAATTCTTATTCAACCCATTTGTTGAGATCATGATTACGACCTCAAGTTTCAAAATTTGATTACAATCAAAATAACATTTGTGAACTTTCTTACCTTCATGATGTCAAATTCTATAAGAAATAATAAAAACATTAAGCAACGAGAATACAAATATCGTCGTAAAAAATTATTCTACTACCCGACCTCAATCTTCTGTGCAATGGAATATATCAGACAGGGGCGGCCCTTTCAAGATTTCAAATGATACAATTTGCTTCCACTTAGCAATACTACAAACGGATTGCATTTGTCTGCACTAGCGGCTAAGCCGCACAGCTCTTGGAAGGTGAAACGTGTGTTTTTTCGATTGGTGTGTGTTTGCGGATGTAGTGAGTGGTCCGCCGATAGACTCATAATCTTACCGGTCGGTCCCACATCCGGTTCGGCTGGATAACCGGTCCTACGAATGTCGACGTAATTTTCAAGATCTCTTGGCGAAAATTGGTTCATAATAGTAAATTGACAGCGAAGTCAGTCTTACCGAATTTGAAGCATGTAGGTCTATTTTTTGGATACCATCGCATATAAAGTTTCTCAGAAAATTTAAATGGTTTATGACGAAAATTTGTCCATGATAGTAATTTGACATAAAAATTAAAATTAAAAATGAAGTGGACCAAATTTAAGTCACATGGACCACGCTCTATAAGATTTCTTGTAAATAGTAAGCCCTTTCGAAAATTTGTTATACTTTAATGCGACGCAGCAAAAAAATCAATGATAGACAATTTAGATACCATTGACTTGTTTCTTATGTTATCATCAAGAAAAGCAAGCGCTTACACGAAGAGAGTGTCTAATGTCTAGTTTTTTCTGATGTAAATTGAAAAATAATAAAACTTTTGGGAAGTAAAAAAAATTTGCTAAATTTTTATCACATCATATAAAGCTTTAAGCACATTTCCATACGCCGGCTTTCATGAGAATAATATGCAATTTTTTAAAATTCCACGTAGATGGCGAACATCAGTTTTATATATCAGCAAATCAAAATTTAACGCTGGTTAAGAGAGTAATTGCACTCTACATAATCCCTGATTTAGTTTAGACATTGGCACAAAATAACAAGGTTATTATATAATATATGCACGTATATGTATGTGTATGTCCAAACTACATATTCATTGAGAATGAACAAGAAAATTCCCTTAGCTTAGATTGTATACTAAGCTAAGCTCGCCGACATTACTCTTAAACACCTGACATTAGATGTACATGTGTCGATGTATAGCTAAACCCATGTGGATGCATCCATGCACGCAGGTTTATGCCTGTGTTTTGTTTGTCTGCGAACTTCATCCTTAAACTTTAATTAAGAAACACGTTCGCATGTTTATTAATTCCACAAAAAAAAAATAAAAAATTGGAGAATGAGAAAACCAAACCCAATTGCTGTAAACAAACAAGGACAACATTTATGCATGTATTGAACGTACGATGATACCTTTAGTTTGCTGGGTAAACAATCCATTTACACAAAACATGTGTGTAAAGAGCAAATGTGTGTTTATTAAGTTCGCTAAATTACTCTGACTGCAAAACCCACTAATAAAGTGTATTTCCAGGTAAACGAAACGATGTGATTGCCAGTGGGAAAATAGCAAGTGAATGAGATTATAAAACAGAAAGGTACCTGTTTTTGTTGTGAACTCGTGGAAGCTTTATGAAGAATGCCTAGAAAAATCGCGCAAAAACAACAAATAAATAAAGAAACTTGCTAACGATAATTCATGTACACATACACTAGAATAGGATATTAGAGAGAGCCAGAGTTTGCAAAGTGTTGCCACATTCTAAAAAATTCAATAATATTTTAAGCAATAAAAGACAGATTGTAGCATGGGTTTAACGTGGCCCAAGCCACTTTAAGCGTAATATACGCCCCCTGGCGAGTTAGGCAATCCCCACAGAGAAGGGGCCTAAGCAGCACCAGAGTCCAAAACAGTTTGTTGCGTATGGATCAATAAACCCCACTCTGGTCAGTGGTGAGGAGCAATAAAAGACACTAAGTTGGCTTGGAATTGCTTGCTTCACCGTTCCTCTGTTTAATTCCTTTCTATTTCTTTCTTCCGTCCGCAGCCGGAAGGTAAGCCGACTTAAATGTACTTAATTGAGAATAAAAGCTTAGAATATTCATTCTACTCATCTGCCATCAACTAAAAAGTCAAAATAAAAATTATGCTCATCAACAAATTATCCGACTGATAAATGTAACAGAAAGTTTTTCCAAATCTAATGAGTAGAATTGCCCTACGACGAATATAATTTCTCTCTATCTTTCTCTCTCGATCTCAGTTTCCCTCTAACACTTCAACTGAAGTCGAGTAACTAGAAAGCCACTTTAGCTCTTTAATTACTCTTATACTGATGGCAACAAAATATAAAAGGAAGAAAAAAAATATTCCTTTAGTTTATTTGCATTGAAAGTTGCATTAAAGTATCCATTGTAGAAGAAATGAAAGAAAAACAATTTATGTACGCACACAATACCTTTAAGTGCATGCTTATAGTGAAACTACTTTCTTTCAATATTGTGACAGCAGAACAAAAAGACGTGATAAAGAGAAGAGGTAATTGAAAGTTTTTTGCGCCACAAATCAAAGCATTTTCCTTCCATCTTATCTTTTATAATATTCAAATGATATTCATAGGCAGCCGCATATATTCCTCTTTTTCGTTTAAAAGCACGTGCACATATATACACGCACACACTATTCTTGCGAATCTAAACAATCATTTAATTTTCCATTTTCAACCTGATTTGACCTTATTTCATACAAACTTATACGCTATCCTCCTCCTCCTCCTCCTCCTCCTTAAGAAGTTTCCTTGGTTTCTAAGCATTTTTACTTGCTACTCTTTTCCGTTTTTTCTTCTTTCGTTTAAAATTAGTTCTTCTCTTCGATTTCGTTATCTATTCCTTATTATCTTAAAAGCTTATTACAGGATGCCCTACGGCAGTGATATCATTCTGTCATCCACTTTTGTGCGCGTAAAACCTTTTAGGTACTTCTTATTTTTATTATTTATCGGTCTTCTTTTGCCCTTGAAGCAACTTTATTAAGGCAGGTTTGAGCCGATAGCCTGTGTTGCTAGTGCTCAATGTCTTTTTTTTAGTCTAAGAATTCCATTCATTAGTCTAAAATTAAAATAATAATAATAATAATAAGGCAGGTTTACATTATATTCGACTTAAATCGACACCTTTGACACCTAACACTTGCTTCTCGTGACCTTATTGAATGAATCTATCTCCCTTTCCCCTTAATTGTGAAAGGGTTATATGTATATAAAAATATACATTAATATCATACCAATATATATATATATATATACATCCGATATTTATTCATAGACATTTGACATCTCTCCGAACATTGCATAATAATTCACAAAGCAAAATTCTGGCTAAGTAAGAGGTATACACAAGAAAAGGCTCACTTATTATCAAGTTGTAGTTATTTCCTTTGTTTAAATATATATATTGCTGCGCTTACTATTCTATCTGTTTACATTTACTTTTTCTAATGCCTTTGAAATTATTTGTAAACTCCTTTAATCAACCACAAGAAGAAACCACAATAAAGCACTAGAGATGTATGTATGTTAAATATATTGCATAATGATTTCCACACTTAAACGCATACCTATGCGTTTCAATGGCTTGCGAATCCAACTATTTTATAAGAATCTAAATAGGAATTCCTTTCCATTTTCCTAGTGACGGTGTTAATAATATTTATTGCCTTTCTTAACGCCTTCCTCTCTTTTGCAAGGACAGCACAAACTTTAATGATTTAAGGATTACCTCTGTTACCTATGTTAATATAATAACCTTGTGACAAACTTTGTACCGCCCAAAGATTTCCTGCACAACTAACTAGACACACTTTTCTGGGATCACAGATGACCAGACTGGAATTTACATCTGCAACGCCGTGCTCTGTAATCAATTGTTCTACTCTCTCGTGATATACATAAGAACCTAAGCAATCTCTGTTAAAAATATAAGAACCTAAATAAACTCTGATTTAGAAAAAATATACATGCGTTGAGAGAGTCTAGAGTTACCAAACAAACACAACAAATTTATTAAAACAACTCGCAAGTGGATTTCTTCCTGGAATGTAAGCCAAATCAATTTAATTAATTATTTAAGATAAAGACGAGTTTTAGAGAACCTTTTTCCTTTGCTTGTAAATAATAGACCTAACCATCATATCAGCGATAGCTCGAAAACCCGTAACGTTAAGGCCTTTGTACACTTAAGTCGACTCTATGTTGACAGTACATGTCTCACGTCAACTCTTAACGAGGAGTAGACATTAGAGCAATTCAAATTATGGATTAAGTGGTTATTGGTTGCCAAAAAAAAAAAAAATTGTTGCATCCAAAATCTAAAAAGTGAACCTTCTCAGTGGTGCTGCTTGGACATATTTAAAAAAAAAATTAATTGAAATTAAATATGAATTCATTCCATATATATATATATATATATATTTATATTTATTAAAGTCATTCATAGAATAGCGAAGGGATACAAAAATTAGAAATCAAAAAAGTTATTTTAAAACTTGCTTCTCGGTAGAAATTAGTTTTCGATTCGCTCGGACTTTTGGAAACGATTTACATGTTGGTTTTTCCGTCTTTTGACGTTGAAACTTGTTTGGTTTATCATTTGAATGCGCAATGGTATTAAATAAAATAGTTCGTGGAACTCTTGGAGATCTCATGCGCCAGTTCATTTCAGCCTCGAGTTCCATTTGGCCAGGTTCACCTTTCAACATTTCTAAGTTTATCACCATATCTTCTAAGCCGTAAGAAGATGTAGGCGAATAAAATTCTATACCTCCGAAATACGCAGAATCAGCATTTACTGGTATAGGTTGGTCGAAATAGCAAACGGTCTGCAACCAATTCGTTACCGGTGACCACGGATCAGTACTAAATGCCACAGGAGTGTGCGATTTACTAAAGTACACATGAAAAAATAATACGATACCGTCCATACGTCCACTTCGCTGCATTTTTAGCATATATTTACTACGTATATGGAGATCAACGGAAGTCGCTTTATTCAAATCCAACATTTGCAGGGGAAATTGTTTACTTAAAACCTGAAAGGAGTTTAATACATTTTCTTCTTCTTTTTTCTTTCTTTTATTTTGCAAAATACTTTCTACGCTCTCTAATATTCACCTGTTGAATTTTTACGCTATGGTATCTAGGCTCTTTGATGGCGACTTCTCGCAAGCAGTTCATATTAAATCCATAAACGTTATTCCACCATTCGATATTTTCATTTTTGTGCTTCTCATCTTCTAACGCAGCCACAAAGAGTCTCGCTTTATCTGGGAATATAAGACCACTTGACTTCTTTAGCCATTTATCACGAGCGTACAAAACATCATCGCAAGTGGACTGATAAAGCAAAGCGTAACCCATCCAATCACACACAATTATATCAACCTCATCTACGGGCAACTCTGTCTCAGTAATTCTACCTTTGATCACTTTTATAATATTATCATAATTATTATTTTCCACTATTTGCCTAGCATAGTGAACAACATTTGAATTATCTACGGCAAATACTTTAGCGGCGCCAGCCTTCGCAGCAAATAAAGCAAAGATGCCTATGCCGCAGTTTAGATTTAAGACAATCCGACCACGAAATAAATGTTTATTGTGTAGTATGGCGTTCTGAAACGATCGAATACGAACCGTGTCCTTTACTGACTGAGCCATCATCTCAATGTGGGCTCGGTCATCGCTTTGAAAATCACATGATGTCATTTTTTCGACAGTAGTTAACGGCGTTGTGACAGTTGTCGCCTTTTTAGCGTGGCCAGAGCCGTTTATTGAATCCTTATTGTTTGGCTTTCTTCGTCCCATAACCAATTTTTGTATAACCTTTTTTCCTTTTCTTTCTAAGAAACCACGATACAAGAAACGGAGCAATTTTTTGCGAGCTGCCTGTTGTACGAATAACGAATAACGGCTTACTGCAGCATGCTTTTGTCCTGTACGCCAAGAATGAAAATAATTCATAAAAGCTTTCTATTACATACTTCGAACAGTGATTCCCAATTGGAAGACTCTGAGGTATTACATATGCATGCATGTAATGCAAGCGAGGTATCGGAATCATAAAGAGGATTAAAAAAAATAGATTAATTAATCGAGCGATGGTCTGAAACGATTAAGACCTTGATTACATAAGAAGAAAATAACATATGATCTGATGAGATTATTAATTTATGTATCAGATGATTTAGATGATTGATGCCAATTTATAAACTCGCCTACACAAAAAGCTTGGAACAACTACCGAAAATTTGTCTAGTAAAACAGTAGATGGTTTCTTAATCTCATTATTTAAATAACCTTTTTTTACATATACATAGACTAATCAAGTCGATAGTTTTACATTTATTCATATGACAAACAAAAATAAAATTTATATTTAACTTAGTTCTTCAATATTCTTGTCGTGAAATTATTATATAAAATCATAATCATTTTCCTTGGAACCTCCCCTTGCACAGACATGTTTCTGAATTTAGGTATTTTTGTAAACTTTAGGATATCTACTCATCAGACTTTAAAGGCCATTTGATTATCTACGCTTTCAGATCACATCACGGTCATCGAAATTTGCAAATTATAGCAAAGATATAAAAATCCGTAGGTGCTTTACAAATATTAATCGGAACATATTAATTTCAAAACAATTATTCATTTCATAAAATTAAATTTTTATTTTATTTCAATCAATTTATTGCACACAAATTGCTTAGCAAATCAAATTTTAATAACTACAAAATTCTGCAAACATTTACCAACACTATTGGTTCTCAGTTGTTAATCAGGGTTCTGATTAATTTCCCATGTGTCATATGAACACGTAATCGATTTGTTGCTATCGTGTAAGAAGAAAAAAAAAAACAAGTGGAAAGGCTATAGTGCGGTATGGCCTGCAAATAAATGTGCTACATTATCATACACTTATTCATTTTACGACTTTTCAACTTAAGACATTATATGGGAAGCGGTCGAAAAGGTGATCCGATCCGAGCAATTTGCGATGGCGTTCGTCTTTGGTTCGCAACACCTCAATGTACCAAAATTTTATGACCTGAACACAAGAAAGGAAAATAGACAGACGGACAGACAAGCTAAGATCGATTGAGAAAGTGATGGTATCCTTCGTATGACTGCCGTTGACTTGAGTTTTAATCTAGAATTCAAACGAATCTCTCCTGATGTCACCGTTAAAAATGCTTTAAGTGCCGCTATATAAAATCCGATTTCTCAAACTATTCCACGATGCCCGATGAGTGCCTATTATTTTTTAACACCTCTGTTTGAAAACACATTTATACAGAGTGTGAAAAAAGAAACTGAAACGGAACGAAATATCAAATCATAACAAATGGTAAAGACTACATACATACATACTGCAATACTTCATAAACAATCGGCTTTCAATGGAATGAGGGGAAACAACAATGTACCATGAGAGAAAAGGTTAAATATAAACACGAAATTAGTGGTTTTCTTCTCTCTTTAATAGGCATAAGAAATTCTTAATCTAATTTTTATTGTCTTAAAACGTATTAACGGTGTAGTTATTCTTCAATTGCGGTGTGTGCGAACCGCTTCATAAGAATATATATAAAAAATGATTGCGATAAAGTAAAACAAACAATTCCGTTGATCTCAGGCAGCAAAAAGATAGGAAGTCTTTCACTCCGATTTCCATATTTGACAGTCGAAAGATAAGAGAACGGAAACAATGTAAATCTTTACGTGTGGGATCTGTCCTTCAGACTTTGATTATGATCTACTATTTAGATCGCAAAAAGATAAGAGAACAGAGTAAAGTAATTCTTTAGGTATGAGATCTGTTCTTCACACCTTGACTGTGATCCACTGTTTAGACCGCAGAAAGATAAGAACAGAATAGTGTATTTTCTTACGTTTGGGCTATGTTTTCCGGACCTGTTTTAAAAACAAACAGAACAAACTATACGCAAGTGAATATCTCCAGGTGCAATATCTCCTGGCATTGTTATATCTAAGCTTACGTTCTCCTATAATTATGTATAATGGTATATGTAATTGTACAAGTAATTAGGTCAAACCAATTCAAAAATTGTCACATATTAGTAATTCATTCGTTTTCTTTCGTTTGAAAACTTTTCAAAAGCTTGATGGAAGCATGAAGGCGTCTCTCCAATCTTGTCAACTCGCGACGCAATTCAACACTATCTCGTACTAATTCTTTATCATTATTAAGGGCGGTATCGATATCGCGAATACGACTTATATACGTTAATGCGCATTGCTTTTCCTCTTTATATTTTCTCAAATTACTCGGATTGATATCTGCTTCCTTGAGCTTTTCAATATAAATTAAGGCCTCACTTACGACCTTAGTTTCGACAAATATTTGCCCATTTTTCTTATTATCACGACGGTTATCAACAATAAATAGCTTCTTCTCTTTCTCGTGATTGATAGTAACTACCGAAATAGCTCTTCGTGGCTTCCCTTTTACCTTCAATTGCACGCTTGCATTACCTTTGACGTTACTAATGATTGGCAGGGACTTGTTAAGAAATTCAGTTTCATCTAATGATTCATTTTCTTGCATACGTGCGATATTGTTATGCATGATGTCTTCAGCTAAGCATTTAATTCGATCCAAATGAACGTGTAATGCTGCAAAATTATCTTCAATGCTCATTGTCTGGATTATATCCGGATTCAGCTGGACGGCAGTGCTTGTTGTACTGGCAGATAAGACCTGCAATACTTTGGCGAATCCTTGTTTCATCTTGAACAAATTTTCATTAATGACTTCTTTCGTGTACAACGACTTGTTATTATCGATGATTGCTCGGTTTGTTTCTTGAATTGACAGCAATTCGGCTTTCATGGCCTCGTACTCCTTTACCATTTGATTAATTGAATGTTCCTGTTCTAGAGCCTTTTGTTTTAAATTTTCAATATCTTCATTCAGTTGACTAATCTCCTCCTGTTTACTGTTTAACTCAGCTGAGTGCTGCGAGCACAAGCATTCGGTACAGCTATCGAAGTCCGATGTAAAGCGACTATTTAATCTTGAATTTAAACTACTGCGCTCAAATGCACTGTCAGTACTGATGTGGCTTTCCGATCGCCAACGACTTAATTTTGCTTCGTATTGCTTCAATATTTTACTATGATCGGACAATTTCTCCGGGATTAGCGCTTCATTATGGCTTACTGTCTTTAAACGACGTCCAAATTCGAGAACAGTTTTAGTTTCTTCCTTGTCTTTAACGTTCGCCGAACAGCAAAGTATAACGCTTACTCTAGCACTAGGACTCAAAGCATCTTGTAGTAGCCGAGTTAGCTTCGAATCGCGATAACGCATATGCGTTTTCTCACCCGCTTGCAACTTTGACACAATATCTCCGAACGTTAACAGAGATCGATTAATGCTTCTCGCTTCGCTGGGCATATTGCCAGTCTTTGGCATCTTCATCGATGCAGCTAAATCGATCAAATGTAATTTACCGCAAACGACCTGCTGAGTTTCAATATTTTTCCGCTTCACTTGAATCACAAATATTGAATGGGAGGAACACTCAACTTTACCGGCCTTTGTTAAACGTCTTTTTGATTTTCCCTCTGCAAGAGCTTTAAATACATCCTGTTGTGTCAATACGGAACGTTCTGTTGCCCCTCTTACATCCACCTTGCCATCATTATGCTCAACTACGGTCAGACTCGGTTTTTTATTTAGCAAATCGTATAACTTTTCCATATGTATTTCATAGTAGGAAACCGTAATAGCGAAATCAAATTGTAGCCTCATTTTCGACATGTTATTAAATATATCCTCAATAATCCGCGGCATGAATCCCTGTTCAATTGTGTCGACTTTATGCGATAATGACGAACCATAAGCGAATATGGATCCATTGTAACCGTTTAACACGTGATTCACAACAAATTTTCCGCTTTCATTGTACATTACATCGTTGGAGATATTGGGGGAGAACACCTCGTCGAAATTGTAAACTCTACCGTCAATTGATAAAGACTTCGCATCGTAGTGAACGGGAAAATCGGCAATTGATTCGTGATTCGCTCTTTTCCCGCTGTTTCCGCTGTTAGCTGGAGAAAAGCGACAAGCAATTTTAATTATATTTTCTTTCGCTTCTGCTATATCTAACTCGCGCTCCGAAAACATTTTAATAAAATTTCGCTCAAAGAATTATAACGCGCTTGTTTAACGCTTGAAGGTTTACCTTGCAATAATCCCAGCTAGTATATGCGGATAACCTTTTAAACTGAAATATTTAAAACAAAAAAAAGGACCTGGTTGTTGTTTTTCCTTAATTTTATGGGCTCTGACGAATTTTCAATGAAAATTCATTTTCCACTTTTCACGTTACTTTGTATTAGTCTGCCGAACAGGCAATTATGTGCGGATTTAATTTAATTATCTCGTAGGTACAGGGAGAGCATTTTTTTTCCCACAGCACTTTTACTTCATTTATTTTGACCTTCTGCTTCCTTTAAACAGTATAAGGTAAGTACAGGTACGCATGTATGTTGAGTGTGTATAGGAACAAATAAAACCTGAAAGTATTTAACGAATGCGATTTACATCAAAAAAACTTTTACTAACGGTCTACAATTTATTATATAGAGAAAGCAATATTTTTTTTTGAAAATCGCAATGCAATCAGTCGCCTTTTACCGCATTGCTCGCAAACAAATTTCATGTAATTATTAAAAAATTAGTTAAATTTCTTAGATAATCACCTGATCTGTATTAAATAAAAGTCCGGTTGCCATGAAAAAAATTGAAAAACTTTATTGATATTTACAAGTTAAAAGGCAGCAATCGGACAAAGACGACATTTAAAGGCTTTACAATAGTTCGCTTGTTGTATCGCTTATACTGTAAATATCTCATTACCACATGAATGCTTAGTTTCCAAGGGAGCTCTTATAAAAGGAGGATTCCAGTGCGATTCAGATTTGAGTAAATAAATCTTTTTCATCGTAAATTAGCAAATATTAAAAATTGCTGTCATAAGCCCGCTTACTTGTCATGAAAGAAGAGGCTCAGAAAATGGACCGATGTAATGCAAACTTACCGCACAACATTCATATATGCCAAAACGATCAATTTTCATTATAAAATCGTAAAGGTTAGTTCTTCTCCATTTATATGGGCTTATTATGCCCATCAGAGAGAGAGAGAGATAGAGAATGAGCTATGAGGATGAGTACGTCAAAATACCAGCAACGCCCAGGAAAAAACTTGAGAGACCTCGCAAGGTATATATATATTCTTGATCAGCTTCAAATTCAGCATCGATCGGTTTAAGCAAGTCCGTCCGTTCGTCTGTGTAATGTCTATAAACATTCCGCTGCAGGAAAACCGGAATTTCTTGCACTCAGATTAATATTGAAAATAGGTCAACTATCGGTAAAGTGAGAACAACCCTTTGCTCATTATTTAGAAGCACTACAGCCTATATATTTCCGAAAATTTGAAAGCATGCTCTATGGACGATGCTGTAGCACTTATACAAAAAGGACAAACATTGGCCACGTCTACCTTGTATTGTGGTCCAATAAGATTGAAGTTCTTTTTCAATATCTCTATAATGCGCAGAAACAAGTTTTTAAAAAACTCTTTAAAGTATATCTCTTGGCCCAGTTTCAAATGGAGAATGTACGGCAGTCCGTTTGTCCAACTGTGTAATATCCGCCATAAGCATCCACCAAATGAAAATGTTCCCTACAAATTTGCAGAAGAATTTGAAAATAGTCCAAACCGATCCAAATTCATCCTCCCATCGCCTACATGCCTGTACAACAAAAAGTCTGAACACAACAACATCGTGTACATTTTCATATTTATTGTAAAAATGGAAAAAATCAGCCTTGACCACCAAATATGAGAGAGAATGGTATAATGGAATATGAGAGAAAAGGTATAAAGTATTCGATCACGACCAAATATAATTTTCTCACTTGTTCCTTCTTCATATATGTAAATGTACCTGAATTGCTTTACATTTCGTTTAAGATTATATTTTACTTTCAATTTTCCTTTTTGTTAGTTAACTTTTACTCATAGCTATATATGAATTCATTTCGATTGATTGCGAACCTCCGGAGATAACCGTCTTAATGGCATTTCTTTTTACACTACATTATGCTATCAAATTCTTGGATTTATAAGTTAAGTATATGTTTCTGGTCGTGCCATGTTTGGAATCTTGAATTGTTAGTCTTCCAAAATTGTTTGCTGCCTGCCCTGCCCCTACATTAAAAACAGAACATGCGTGACCATGAAAAAAATAGTTTACCCACTAAAAATGAAATGAATGTGTTATGGCATATTTAATAATAACCAATGGAGCGTTACGGAGATTCAAGATAAATAAAAAAAGGTTTCATGTAACAACTGACCAACTATCCAACGATAGCATATGTATTTTATGCGAATCTTTATGTAACAAGTATGTATGTATGTAAGTTATTTCACTCGATGGTTGTTCGATGCCTAAAGACTTTGCTCTTTTGCTTTAGCTAATCTTCCGATTTAAAAGGGGTAGTAAAAAAAAAGAATGCCAACCCTCTTGCCGGGTCGTCCCTTATCTAAATGTAAACAGTAGCTCCTTATAAGCAACATAATTGCAGCCATAATTTCCTGGTTTGCTTGGTAAAAAAGAAAAAAACGAAGAAAAAAAAAACTTGGATGAGCAGCATCCGTTTTCCGTCGGCTATAAGTAAGTGTATATCGAAGCAGACAGCAGGCAGCAACGCAAAAAGAAAAATATTTCAATGAAAAACTTGATGTTCGCAGATGTCAAGAAAGACATGACAGACGCCCATAAAATGTTTAGTAATAAACTTATCATGCCAAGAAAACGCAAATACAGTTTAAACGATTTCATCAACGTACATCGCAAGCACTCCCCACTACACATTCCACGTCACCATCTAGCATCCCACGCCCTAAGGAATTCTCATTTCAATCTAACATATTGCTATGAAAGATTGTATTTTCCTTAGCAATATGTGTAAGAAGAAGAGCAATACATTTGTAAAATATATAATCAATAAATTTATTTCAGACTTTTGTAAATTACAGTAAAGTTGTAAATAATAATTATCATCATTTCATTGCCTTGCGCTGTATATGTAAAGCAAAAGGAGGAATTCTTCATCGATTTTCTATATAAAAAAAATTAGTGTGAATAAGAGTGTAATGCCGGCCTTCAGACTGTTGGAATGTTTAAAAATTTGAACAATAACTTTTAAACCCTTGCCAATAATGTTAGTATAATGGAAGCAGCAGTACTAGCTGCACTTTATTATGTTAGGCTGGTCGGAAAGTCAGTTCTCTTCTTCGCCCCACTAGATGAATTAATTGTATTCTTTCACAGCCAACTTCATACTTAAGCCGCATTCTCATTGTATAGCAGCAAGGCTTGCTTGTGAAAAAGTTCACTTGATTCTACGCAGTAGTCTTTACTTGGTCCCCTTTCACATATGGAAAGTGAAAGGCACTATTTTCGGAATATTTTAATTTTTTACTGTCGAAGAGATAAAAATGCTGTTCAAGCAAAGTAAAAATTAGCCGATATTTAGGAAGGGGACGTATTGGCGGAACATAAGTGGCGAAATTGCTTTGCCAAATTTCCATCCAGCAATGCTGTTGTCGAAGGTGTACCACGTTTCGAAATGTCCGTTCAAACTGATGAAGACAAACTAGAGGCATTCTTGGACACAAACTGCTAAACGATAAAATTTATCGAATTGAAATGCATATGAGAAAATATTTTATGCGCATAAGGGGAAACGAAATTACTTCCTAAACAATCCAATATTAGATACACAAATAAGTTGTTTGTTAACAACCGAAATATGCCTCATCTCGATCTATAGCTTCATCTCTGTCTAATAGGGCAGTTTAGCGTAGAAAGATCGCGATTTCGAACCGACAAAGACGTCCACCCATTTTCACATATCCTTAACTTTTGTGATCACCTAAATGCGACCGCATCAAAATGAAAAAGTGACAATTAGAAGGAACAGGTTTAGAGAATAAGACGCATTGGGAAGAAGATCCCAGACCCAGATTGCTTTTGCTACACGCAGACCGAGATTGGCTTGAAATAAAATCGTCATTAAGGGCTTCACTTAGTTCCACTAGTTGAGCTAAATATCTATCAGATGTAACCGTTTCACCAGATTTCAGAATTACTTTGCTTCACCCATTCTTGAGCTTACAATTTTTATCACGAAATATCGTAAGCAACTTTCCGCTAAGCCAACTTAATCATTTCCATAATTTTTGCTGTACTTGTTTCCAATTTAAAACAGAATAAGATGCAGTGTGAGAAATGCTGGTCCATGACATGCATGTCTTTACGCTTCGGTAAATACTGAACGCGTTGTTATAAATAACTTAAACTAAAACTTATGTCGTACAAACATCAATGACTAAGCTCTACCCAAGTTACCCAACTATACCCGAAATTTCAAAGGAAACGTTCGCAGAGTAACTAATTTTTAATACAAAGATTCGATTTGTACACTAACGCATATAGATTTAAAATCTAACCTAACTTTCAACCATCGTTTTGGAATGATTTAAACAAAAGCTAACAGATAGATAGTAAACAGTTAGTGATTCGTTTGCTTTACACTTTTCTTTTATTTTTTTTGATTTCCTTCTTTAATCCCTTTTCCGCGTAGCTGGATAGAATCAAAAATACTTAAGCCTCGTAGACTTTGAGGGTGTCTTACGTTGCCTTTGGATATTAGTTAGCAGAAGAATTAAGAAGAATTCTTCAAATTACTGAAGTAGTAGGTCAGATAGTCAAAGACCAGGAGCACATATATTGTTTAATAGTAGTCGAGACACATTTTTTTACATTTTGCAAACGAAATGCCGAAATGATTCGCCAGTAGTAGGAGTAAAATCAAACCTTGCATCACGCTATCGCTTCGCAAATTTTAAAGTAAATTTAAGAAAGAAAATATTCATCTCTGCGTAAACGAGAACACATATGGTCATGTATGTATGGTGTACGTAAATATATAACTGCGTAGCTAAAGTCTATATGACTTTGTACTTTCTAGTACTTTGTACTTTGTAGCGATTTACAAGCATATTGATGTTGGCTGACTGGAAAAAAGCGAGTATAACAAGCAATA